CTTTCTTTCCACCATTATTCCCTTGTTTTTCAAATCTTGTTCAGTTATTTCAGCAAGATTCTTCTCCCTTTGTGATTTTCTGTCTCCTTTCTCATCCTCTTTGGGAATCAGAAAACAACTGTAGGCAACAGCAGTAAGTTCAGGAGTAGTACAAATGATACCTGTTGTCACTTAGGAAAGCCTTAAGTTTTGAAATGAAACTCAATGCAACAGAGCTGGTGAAATCAGCATGATAGATCTTAAGAATTCCTACAAATACCCTTCAGAATCTTGACCAGTCTCCTACACGTCTTTCTCTTGTTAAATGTATTATTCCTCAAGTAACTTAGTGCAACTGTCCTTTTCAGTTTCAAGTCCTGCTTTTTACTATTTTCCATGTATGGCCCCTTTTAATTACATTATGGGAATAACATGCTTTTAAAACTGGACATACCACTACAAAATAGTCTTTATATAAATAAAGACAGATATAAATAACCTGAGAAAAATTAAGTGTTCATAGGTAGGCCAAGCCAATATAAGGAAATGACAATACTAGCTAGATTAATTTACTTACTCAGTGCCATATCAAATGCGCAAAGGATTATTTTAGATCGCTAGAAAAAATAACAAAATTCATTGGGAAGAACAAAGGTCAAGAATGTTGAAGGAAATAATAAAAAAAAGTGGGAAGGTAGTAGGCCTAATAGTACCAAACTATACTACAAAATAAGAATCATCAAAACAACTTGGTACTGGTTAAGAAATAGAAAGGTCAATCAGTGGAAGAGATTAGGCACCCAATATATTAAATAAATGAGCACAGTAGCATAGTGTTTGATAAAGCTCAAGATCTCAGCTATTGGGCTAAGAACTCACTAGTAGACAAAAACTGCTAGAAAAAAAGGAAAACAATTTTGCAGAAACTAAGTAGAGACCAGCATCTCACCACATACCAAGAGAAGCTTAAGCCTTCTTATCTTATACACTAAAATAAACTCTAAATGTGTACAAGACTTAGACATAAAGGCAAATGGGTAGAAGACTTAGACATAAAAGGGGACATTACAACAAACTGGAAGAGCTAGGAGGGAGGGAGGGAAGGAGGGAAAAAGAATTTATATAGCTCCTATTATGTGCCAGGCACTGCACTAAGTGGTTTTACAAATATTTTACAACAAATTACTTGTGAGATCTATAGAGGAAGAGTTCTTGACCAAACAAAGAATAAATAGGATCACAGAACGTAAATTGGACAATTTTCATTACATAAAATTAAAAAGTTTCTGTATAAACAAAACCAATGTAGTTAAAATGAGAAGAGAAATAGTAACAGTTCAATGGGGAAAAAAGTTTGTAGCAAGTTTCTGTGACAAAGGTCTCATTTGTAAGCTATGTAGAGAACCGATTCAAAATTTTAAGGACAAGAACTATTCTCCAATTGATAAATGATCAAAAGATAAGGTCAGTCAATAAGCATTTATTAAGTGCCTAAGTGCATAAGCCCTGGGGATACAAAGAAAGGCAAAAAAAACCCAAAAAACAAAAACCAGTGCCTAATCTCAAGAAGCTCACAGTTTAATAAGGCAACATGCAAACAACCATATACAAATATGATAGATACAGGATAAATTGGAGATAATCAATGGAGAGAAGGCACTAGCATTAGAGGGACCAGGAAAAGCTTCTTGTAGGTTGGATTTTACCTGGGACCTGAGAAGCCAGTAGGCGCAGATCAGGAGGAAGAGAATTCCAGGTATGGGGAGCAGCCAGTGAAAATGAACAGTAATAAAGAGATGGAATACCTTGTAAGAGGAACTTCAAGGAGGCCAGTGTCATTGGATGTACATGGGGAACAGGGTTGGGGAGGAGAAGAAACCAAGTTATGAAGAACTTTTGAACAGAAAATTCTAGAGCATAGAACTAGTAGTGGCATCCCTGGATCAAAGAATAAACACAGTTTAATAACTTTTGGGGGATGATTAGAAGGGTGGTTTTGGAGAAACCTGGGAAGACTTCAATGAACTGATGCAGAGTGAAATGAGCAGAACCAGGAGAACAATTTATACAAGCATAGCAATTTTATAAAGACAAACAACTCTGAGAGACTTAGGAACTCTGACTAATGAAATGAATAACTATGATTCCAGAGGACATAGTCTATTTGCTATACAGATAGCAATGAGAAGAAGCTATCAGAAGTAGAGTGGTACAGTGGAAAAAGCAATTAATTTGTAATAAGAGGACCTGGCTTTGAATTCCAGCTCTGCAATTTAACACTTCTACAACTTTGGGCAATTCTCTGGGCCTCACCTTCCTCATATGTAAAATGAAAGAATTGGACTCTGCGACCTTCCAGGTCTAATCTATCAACATAATTTACTAAGCGGCTTGAAGAAGAGGTCAATAATATTGATGGCTTAATACCTCTGATCCTTTCCCAATCCCAAAAGACAGAGTGATTATTCAGGTGGGGTTGAGAACACAGATGGCTTTCTCAGGACTGGATTCCACGAAGGCCAACAATATCTTACGCCGAGCAACAGCCTGTGGAATTGGAGACCCACACTAAAGCTACTCGTCTACTTAATCAATCCCCACGTTTTTCATGCAGTGTACCAGGAGCTGACAGAATTACAAAAATAAATAAGACATAGATTAAATCACAGATCATAGATTGAGAGCTAGCAGAGACTTTAGGGGTCATCAAGTCCAACTTCCCTATTTTTCAAATAAGGAAAGTGAGATACAGAGAGGTTAAGGTACTTGCCCAGGAAGCAGTAGGTGCTTTGTAAATGTTTGCTGAATTGAACTAAATCCATAGTCCCATCATCAAAAGATAAAAAAAGCAGTGTACTTTCCAGTTCTGGGCTGGGAACTATGTCAACATATAGGAAGAATAAGCAAAGTCAGATAGTAGGAGGCAAAAGGGGTACTGAGGAGGACAAGAAGGTGCTCTGAGTCCCCTTGAAAGACACTGGGATCGTCCTAGATCCCTCAGTTTCCTTCACCCCATATATCCAATCAGCAGCCAAGGCTGGTTTATTCTACCTCCATCCTCCTTTTCTCCACTCACAAAGCTTCTACTCCAGTTTGGGATCTTATCTTCCCTTGTCTGGACTACTGCAATACCTGCCTCATTGGTTTCCCTGCCCAAGAGTCTCTCTCCTTTCCACTCTATCCTCCACACAACTGCCAGACCAATATTCTTACACCACAGTCCTGACCAAGTTATACCCTTGCAGTAGTAACCTATTACCTCTAAGATTACACATAAATTCTTTCAACTGGCATTTAAAGCCTTTTACAACTTGGTTCCAATCTATTCTTTCAACCTTCACTCTATGGTCCAGCCTAACTGGCTTTCTTCTGCTCCTCATTCTATTTCCTGCCTCTAAGATTTTGCACACATTGTGGTTCCCCACTCCCACCCTCTGCTCCCATAACATTGAGTGCATGTCCTCACCTCTGCTTCCTCAAGAATGATTAGCTTCCTGTAAAGCTCAGTTCAAGTACCAGCTCCTAAGTGAGACTTTTCCTGATTCCCCCACCTATTTGGGATGGTGCAAAAATTACGTGTGTGTGTGTGTGTGTGTGTGTTCGTATAAACAAAGATACAGCATGAATTTAACAAATACTTGCTGTTTGTTAATATCTATAGGCCAAGGAGAGGGACAGATCTTTCAGCTTTTCTATCACATCACATGATACATTCCAATCCCACCTCCAACTTCTTGAAATACCATTAATTAAATCCCAGGGAATAAGCATCATTTAAAAAATAAAAATGCCTCTGGGAGAGCTGGTGGGATATCAGATACTGTGAGTTAGTTTAATCAGATTTGCTATCCTCTTAATATCTAGCTGAAATCATTCCATGGCCCTATGATGTATTTTTATTGGGGAGAGAGGCATGTAGCCCAGGGAGGGTAAATAGGAAGAAAGAAGAAATAATTTTGGAGCAAGGTACATTGCTGGGAGTAGGGGAAAAGCCTGTGTGGGACATCACTATAGGGGACTTTGGGCAGCCAGAAGGAAAAGGGGTGAAGGAAACATCAGGAAATAGAAAGATATCAAAGGCAGGCTTCTTCTATTTTAATATGTTGCTTAAGGGCATCCCTGTTCCCTACTCCCTCCCTTCAGAATACACAACCCAAAAGGGAAGGGAGCTCTTTTGACAACTGGTAACAGACTGGGCCTTAGTTTCCTCATTGGCAAAATGGGAACATTAGGTACCCTAGTACCTCATAGAATGGCATGAGAATCAAATTATATATTAATTATAACTTTAAATGCTTTACTAATCAGTTTTTTCTCTACATATATACACACATGCATATATATGTAAATATACATTGATAAACAAAAGTAGATGAAAATTGCATTAATGCCCAGACTATCATTTGCATCTGAGTGGGAATCCCAAATATAAATGTATGTAATTTGTCATTAATATAAAAATTCATATATTTATATATAATGTATAAACTTCACAGTGATACATATCATTGACTACAAACAGGACAGTAAGTGGTATGTGTGTGTGCCTGTGTTTGTGTGTGCACATGTACTTAAGAGAAATTCAATCCTAAGTCTAACTTGGAAACCAGTCAACAACAGAAGACTAGAGCCTCCAAATCTTGTGGAAAAAAGTCAGATGATATGCAGCTTAAAAGTAGGGACTGGGGGCAGCTAGGTGGTGCAGTGGATAGAGCACCGGCCCTATAGTCAGGAGGACCTGAGTTCAAATCTGACCTCAGACCAAACACTTGACACGTACTAGCTGTGTGACCTTGAGCAAGTCACTTAACCCCAATTGCCTCGCAAAAAAAAAAAGTAGGGACTGCGTCTTAGATATTTATGGTATGTCTACACAGATAAGCACTTTAATAAGTTTGCTGAATGAATAAAATGAGCCATTTTCCCATGTCTGCCATGTTATTTAAATCTCAAATGTGCTGTGGTGAGGTATCAGGCTCCTCACACCTCATGCTTTCAGAAGTCTCCCCTCCCCTCCTTACCTCTTCTTTCATTAATGAGAATTTCTCGTCGCTCTTTCATTTCAGAACTCAATTTCTCAACCATCTTGCTGATACAGTTGTCCAGCACTAGAGAGCGAGTTTTAGATTCAATATCTTGTCGACAGATGGGACATTCCACTTTTCGCTTCATCCACTCATTGATGCAGTAGGAGCAAAAACTATGGGCACAGTTCAAGGTGACTGCCTAAAAAGAGCAGGAGGAGGAATGTATCAGGGATCTCACTCTGGGATGTTTTTGCAATAGCAAAAGAAACAATATGATGAGTAAATAAAGTAAATCAGAACGTGATCCACAATGATCTATTAAGTGGTTACTGCCCAATTAGTTCAGCCAGGACTTTGTAGTAACCTAAGAATCACTCCCAGGACTGTGTTCAAACACCATCTTGAATCATTTTCTTCTTTTTTCCCCTGTGGCTGGTCAGAGACTTACTATGATTAAGGTCCACAGATTCACAATTAGAGCAAGAGACTAGAGGTGCAGAATGATATACATTTTCTGAAATTGCCAATGTGTGGCTTTATTTTGGTTAATTATTAACCTAATTAATTAATTGCTTCAAGCCAGGGCTTTTATTTTGGGAAAAGAGAGAGATTTAAGAGAGTGTAGAGATGGGAAAAGTGATAGTGACACCAAAACAAAAAAAGAAGAAAAGAAAGAAAAAGGGTGTTAATGAAACATTTTTTTAAATGCATAGAAAAAAGCAAGTTCAAAAAAAGAAAAAAAAAAAGTAAAAAGGAAATTCAGAGGGAGCCAGGGATAAGCAAGACAGTTTTGGAACTTCCATTTAGCATTTATTATATACTTACAAACAACTAAGATGTATGTAACATAGATTCATGGATTCATATATAATCTCCTTTTTCCTTTGTATAGGGAAAAATTCACATTTGATGTTTTTCAAGTTTATAACAACAATAAAGGGAAAAATTTTTAAATTAGGTAGAAGCCATTAAATAGCAACTTGGTACTTTATCCTAGAGGCAACAGGGAGACACTTATGATTTCTGAGCGGAAGAACATTATTTTTGAGAAGGCAGATTTGTATTTTAAGAATATTAATCTGGGAACTATGAGGAAGATGGATGCGGGGGGAGACACTAGATAGAAGCAAAATGATCAGTGAGGGAAACTACTGCAAGAGTGTGAATGAGAGGTGATTAGGGACAGAGAGTCGGAATGGGAGGAAAAAAGATTTAAGAGATAATCTGGAGATAGGATAGACAGATAGAACTTGGGAGGTATTTGGAAACAGAATTTGAGGGAGAGTGAAAAGCCAAGAGAGCCGGTAGGAAGTACAGTGGACAGAGTGCTGGGCCTGGAATCAGGAAGACTCATCTTCCTGAGTTCAAATCCAGTCCCAGACACTCACTAGCTATATAACCCTGTGCAAGTCACTTACCCCCTGTTTGCCTCAGTTTCCTCATTTGTCAAATGAGCTGGAGAAGGAAATGGCAAACTATTCCAGTATCTTTGCCAAGAAAACCTCAAATGGGATCACAAAGAGTCAGATATAACTGAAATGACTAAATTACAACAACAAAATGCCAAGAATGATTCTCTAAGGCCAGTGAGTTTGATATTGATTACTGGAAAGATTCTAGAATTAAAGAGATAGTTGGCAAACATCTGAAACGGGAAAGTGTGATTGATTACAAAGACCCAACATGGCTTCATAAAGGGCAAATCATGCCAAACTAACTTCACGTTCTTTTTTGACAGGATTATCAAACTAATAGATGAGGGGAATGCTCTATGTATACTTTACCTAGAGCTTAGCAAAGCTTTTGATAAAGCATCTCATACTTTTTATGTGGAAAAGATGAACTATGAAATAGTACAACTAGATGAATCAAAAAACTGAGTAACTCTGTCATGGGTGCAAAGTCAACATGACACGGGGTCTTCAGCAGGGTACTAGCAATCTATGCTTTGGTATTATGCCATTTAACATACTTTTATCAATGACTTGACTAAAGGCATAGGTGGCATGCTCATCACATTTTCAAATGACAAAAAACTAAAGGGAATGACTAACAATAGGATGCAAAAAGATAATCAAGAGGCTAAAATATTGGACTGAATATAAATGAGATGAATTCAATAGAAATAAATGTAAAGTTTTATTCTTAGGTTAAAAAAAAAATTTCATCAGTGCAAAATGGAGGAGGGATGGGTAGACAATGATTGTTCTCAAGAGGATTTGCTGTTTGGTGGTTTTAGTGGGCTACAAACTCAGTGAGTCAACAGTGTGATGTGAAAGCCAAAAATGTAATGCAATCTTAGGCTACATTAGAGAGGCATATGCCAAAAATGGAAAAGAAAGAGGAAAAGAATCCACACGCATATACAGCAGCTCTTTTTTTTTTTTTTTTGGTTATAGCAAAGAAGTGAAAATTAAGAGAGTGGCCATCAATTGAGGAATGGTTGAACAAATTTATGGTATATGAAGGTAAAGAAATAATATTGCACCGTAAGAAAAAATAAAAGGAGGGTGTTCAGAGAAACTAGGGAAGATTTGTATGACCTGATACAGGGTGAAGTGAGCACACATAAGAAAACAACTTATACAATAATAACATTGTAAAGACAAAGAACTTTGAAAGACTTAAGAAGTCTGATAAATGTAATAACCAACCACGATTCCACAGGGCAGGTGATGAAGCATATTACTCACTTTCTAATGGACTCAAGGGGCAGAATGAGTCATGTATTTCTGGAGTTGGCCATCATGGGACTTTCTTTTGCTTGTTTATGCATATTTGTTACAAGGGTTTTTCTTTTCTTTTAAATGTGAAGGGGATAGAGGTGAGAGGAAGAGGTAGAATAGTAGAAGGATTGCCCCCAAAAAAATGAAATTGGAGGGGCAGCTAGTTGGCAAGGTAGATAAGCTCCAGCCTTGGAGTCAGGAGGTTCTGAGTTCAAATTCGGCCTCAGATACGTAACACTCACTAGCTGTGTGACCTGGGCAAGGTACTTAACCCCATTGCCTAGCCAAAAAAACAAAAGAAAACAAAAAAATGAAATCAGGATAGCTTTGAAAGTCACACATCAAATTTATTATATACTTAGAATGAAAAACAAAATGTATGTGTTAGAGGTTTGCAATTTTTACATACAATTTCATTCTTTTATTCTACCTTGTATACATAAATGCTCGTTTTATTTGGCATGTTAGATTCACAAATAAAAACAAACATACAAAAGCAATGTGTATAGCCCAGATGATGGGGTTGGAGCGTGAAGAGTCCCTGTCCCTTGTTATTACCTCAATGAAGTGTTCCGAGCAAATGATGCATTGAAGCTCATTTTCTAGTACATCATTCATCTGGTTTAGAACCTCTTCCTTCTGCGCTCTCACTTTCTCTTTTTCTTCCTGCAAAGATATACAGCTCTATTTATCACTAGAAGAACTACTGATTGATTACTGATTAAACAAGACAGGAAATGGAGTTAAAATGCTAGAATGATTCAAATGGAACAGCCCACTTCCAAGAGTTACTACTTCTCAAAAGTCATACTAAATGTAGGCTTTTCTTGAGTTTAATTTTTTAAAATTTCTTTCCCTTTTTTTTCTTTTCTTAAATAAAACTTTAATTTTTCTTCTCTCTTCACGCTAAATTAAAAAGGTAGTAAACTGTTTTGTAGGTGGATACTACTATTCATTAGAAATCTGAGATGGTACTAAACATTGCAGACACTAAAGCAAGACAATAAGCATACTCAGTCCAAGTTTAGAATTAGTAAAAATTTTGGTTTTTCAAGAAATATACTTATTCCTGAACAATGATGAAACAGTACACCAGAAGCAACTCATTAAAGAGCTATTATCTACATAGTACACTTTTTGCCAAGAACACTACACTAGAAGGCAGAAGATCTATTCTGTCTTCTGTGATTTATGGATGTGTCATCCTGGGTGGATTAAACCTCCCTGGACCTTACTTGTGTCACCCATTAGATTAAAATAATACTATATATATCTCTACCTGAAGGAAGAGATTTGAGCCAATTGCATTTAACAAAAATTTATTGAGTGCTGATAGATTCAAAGGAGAATTCTATTAAACTTTGAAAGAAAAATTAGTGGCAACAATATAAAAACTATTCTCAAAAATTGAGAAAGAAAGCTACTAGATTCCCTTAATAAGACAAATGTAAAATAAGAAAAATAACTAAACCAAGGAAGGAAAAAAACATAGGAATGTTTTTTATTAATTAATGTATTTCAATTATTAATGAATCATTAGTCATTAATGAATATCGATTCAAAGGTTTTAAATAAAATCCTGTCAAACAGACTATAGTGATTCATCCATGAAATCATTCATCATGACCACACTGAATATACCAGAAATGCATGAATGGTTTAATATTGGGAAAATAATCAACATAATTAGTTATACTAAAACCAAAAACATCCAAAACCACATGATTTTCTCAAAAGATGTGGAAAAAGCCTTTGAGAAAGTACAATACTCATTTATGTTAAGAATCCTTTTTTAAAGCATAAGCACAGAGGTATCTTTTTTTAAACATCATAAAAAGTATCTACCTAAAATCAAAAGCAAGTATCATATGCAATGGGGGTACACTAGAACCTTTCCCAATAAATATGAACTAAAGCAAGGATGTTCATCTTCTCTATGATTATTTGACACAGTTCTGGAAATGCTAGCAATAAGAATAAGAAAAGAGATGTAAATTAAAGGAATAAAGGTAGGTAAAGAGTTGACAAAACTATGCCTATTTGTTGATGACACTATGGTTTACTTAGAAAATCATAAGAGAACCAGCAGAGATACTCATTGAGACAAAAGCTTTAACAAAGGTTTTGCAGGCTACAATATAAGCCCTAATAACAAAACACAAGAGGCAATAATAGAAAAGGAAATCCTATTCTAAAAAATTACAAAATTCATAAAATACCTGGAGATCAATCTAACAAACCACACAAAATATTCACATATTCAATTACAAAGTGGTCCTTAAAGAAATAAAAAACATCTTAAACTGGGAAAATATTCAGTGCTCAAAGCTGGACCATGCCAGTATCATAAAAATAACAATACCACCCAAGTTAATTTACTGTTTTAATGCTATGTCAATCAAATTTTCAAAGGGCAACTTAGCAGAAGCTGATAAAAAAATAACAAAAGTCATTTGGAAAAATAAAAAAAATCTAGAATAGTATGGGAAATAAAGAAAAGAGGAACGGACAGAGGGAGACTAGCTCAAACTATATTACAAAGTAACACTCATCAAAACCATGTGGTATTAAAAAAGATAGGTAAAATGATGGAACACTACACAATGGAGAATCAGAAACAATGGAACTCAATAAACTAATGTTTGACAAGCTGGAAAAACATAAATTACTAAGGAAAGAACATCCTATTCAATGAAAAACTTTTGGGAAAATTGATAAGCTTTTTAGTAGAAATTAGGCTTACAACAACACCATACACCATATTCCACAATACATTCTAAATGGATGTTGTTAATATTAAAGAGCACATTACAAAAAAATTAAAGAGAAACATCACATAACTCTCACAGTTATGGGTTGGAGATGTATTAATTAAACAGGTGACCGAAACAATTACAAAAGATAAAAAAGTTAACTTTGATTATGTGAAACTGAAAAGCTTTCTGGACAAACAAAATGAGTACACCTAGGATAAAAAGGAAAGTAGTTGAATGGGAAAAACTTTTTTGTATCAAATTTTTCTGATAAAGACTTAATATCCAAGATATAGAATCAATTAACAGACACATGAGTATATGTATATGCACAAACATCCATATTTATTTATAAGACCAAAAGAATGTTCAAAGGATATGGACAGTTCTCAAAAGAAGAATTGCACACTACTGACAATCAGATGAAAGAAGGCTCTAAATCATTAATAATAAAAGAAATGCAAATCAAATCAAAACAACTATGTGGTTTTACCTCATACCCTGCAAATTAGCAAAGATGACAAAAGATAGGAATAATCAATAGAGGAAGGATTGTGGGAAAAGAGTCCCATAAGTGAATTGTTTGTGGAGCTGTGAATCAATACAAACATTATGAAAAAGAATTAGGAAATATGCAAATTAAGTGACAAAATATCCATATGCTTGACCCAAAGATTCTATTACTAAACTAAGACTCCAAGGAGGCCAATGATAAGAAAGTCTTTATATACACCAAAATATTTATAGCAACATTTTCTGTGATAGCAAAGAATTGGAAACAAAGCAGATGTCCACTGAATGGGGAATGGCTAAACAAATTAGGGTTCATGAATGTAATGAATGCTACAAGAAACATCAAATGTGATGAATACAGAAAAATATGGAAAGACTTACACAAACTAATGCTGCAAAATAACAAAGAGTATACATGGCTCAAAAAGAAGAGATATAAAAAGACATCCGTCCACTGCTTTGTAGGGGTGGTAAGTCCACAAGTGTTTTATAGTGCATACATATTCGTAATTCTTCAATGTATTGATCAGTTATGCTCATTTTCTTCTTTTTATACAAAAATATTATTTGTCATATGAGATTACTCTCTGGAAAGGAGAAGGGAATGAATATTATGGAAAATTACTGTGCTAAAAAAATCAATAAAAATGTATTAAAAATAAACAAATTAGAGCATATGTTGTCAGATATATACGGCCAATGCGTTGCTTCATTTTATTTGTTACAATGGAGAGTTCTATTGGGAAGTGACTGATGTGGAAAAAAGATTTAATAAGAAATTTATTTTTTCAAAGTGTAAAAAAAATTTATTAATAACCTAGACACATAGATACTCTTTTAGGCACTAAAGATATCAAGACAGAGGACACAAACCCTGATCTCAAGGTGCTCACAATGCAGCAGGAGAAAAGATGTGCTTGGAAATAGTCACAGGAATAAGAGTTCTGCAACTGGAAGGTTTTTCAGCATACATTTAATTCAACCTATACTTAAAAATGAATCCTTACTACAACATACCTGACAAGTGATCATCTGACTTGTGCTTTAAAACCTTCAATGAGGAAGAATCCAACTCCTGAGGGAGCTCATTCCACTTTAAGAAAGCTCTAATTGTAAGAAATTTTTTTCTGACATCAAACCTAAACTGACTGATTTTTAACTACCATCCGTTGCTCCTAGTTCTGCCTTCCAGGACCAAGCAAAACAAATCTAATCCCTCTTCCAAACATCATGTCCCCCACTCCAAGCACTCATCTCTCATCCCCAAGTATTCTCTTTTCCAGGGTAAACATCCCCAGTTTCTTCAATCAATCCTCATGTAGTATGGAATGAAGACCCTTCACCATCCTGGCTGCTGTTCTCTGGATACTCCATTTTATCAACACCCTAAATTGTGGTACCCAGAAGAGAACACAACACTCCAGACATGCCTTGCAGGGAAGAGTACAGTGAAACTACCACCTTCTCATTCCTGGAAGCTATCCTCTTCATGTAGTCTTGCACTCCAAGACGACGTGAGCCTTTTTTGGCTGTCATATCCCTCTGCTGACTCATACTAAGCCTTCAATCACTAAAAACTCCTAGGTCTTTTTCCAGACAAACTGCTTTATAACTATGCCTTAATCAATTTGCACTTGTAAAGTTGATTTTTTTTAAACCTGAAAGACTCTATATTTACCATACTTAAATTTCATCTTATTAGGTTCAATCCAATGTTCTAGCTAGAGATCTTTTTGGAACTTGATTCTCTCATACCTTTTAGCTTTGTGTTGTTTGGAAAGCTAATTATGACATCTCTGCCTTCATCCAAATCATCAACAAGCACAACGCCACACACAAATCCCTAAGATATTCCACTGGAGACTTCCTGCCAAGCTCATATTAGCCACTCGTGGGTCTGACCAATTAGTTCTGAATCCATCTAACTATTATTACCATCTAGCCTACATTTCTCCAACTTTTCCCCAAGAACAAGAACACTGCTAGAATCTAGGTTAAACTATCTACAGTATTCTCCAGATCTATTTGTTTAGTAACTCTGTCCAAAACAAAAGGAAATAGGCTACTGTGGCATGACCTATTCCCTAGAAAAGCATGCTTCCTTTTCTACATGATCAGAAATCGCAAGGGGGCAGCTAGGTGGCGCAGTGGATAGAGCACTGGCCCTGGAGTCAGGAGGACCTGAGTTCAAATCTGACCTCAGACATATAACACTTACTATCTGTGTGACCCTGGGCAAGTCACTTAACCCCATTGCCTAGCCCAAAAAAAAAGAAAAAATTAAAGAAAAGAAAAGAAATTACAGAGGCTATGTAGCACTGCTTCCCCCCACCCCTTTCATTTTACAGACCCTCTCAGAGACTCGCCCAAAGTTAGAGTCATTTTAGGAGTAGAGTTGGGATCTGCACCTCAGTCCTCTGATTCACAATCCAGCACTCTTTTAAACTATGATGTTTCCATCATAACCATCTCTTTATCTCTTTAATGATCTATTCAAGATAATGGCTAAGTTTGGCTTCAGGGAAATATACCTTCCTCCCTTCACTGCAGAGGTGGGGGACTAGAGAAGTCAAGAATACCTTCAGGGATGGCTCATTGGGTGGGGCAGAGGGACAGACACATCCAGAAACAAATGTGACTTTAAAATAAAAGTTATCAATAAAAAAGATAAAATTTGATAACTAAAAAAATTAATTTTATAGCTGCCAGAAATTGAAGTTGAGGTCACTGGCCTATGATATAGATTCTATTGTCTTCTCTTTTTTTTTTTTTTGAAAATCAAGACATTTGCCTTTCTTCAGGCTTTCAGAACTATCTTTTGCCTTTCTTTGCCTTCTCCAGCATTCACAGTTCCTAGACCATAAGAGGCACTAAATAAATGCTTATTGACCAAGAGCTGTCAATTATCATCATTCCATCTACACTGAGCCCCTCCTCTCCTATCCCATACCTCAGAATTCTACTATGTCATTCCCCATTCTCTTCTTTGCTATGGTCCCTGAGAAGAGGACGCCCTTCTCTCCTTGCCCAGACCAAGGTTAGGCAAACCATGACTCACAGGCCATACATATGTAGCCTGCTGCCTGTCTTTGTAAAATCCATGACCTAAGAATGGTTTTTACATTTTTAAATGGCTGGGGAAAAAAGACTATTTCATGACACGTGAAAATTATATGAAATTCAAATCTCAGTGTCCATTAATAAAGTTTTATTGGAACACAGCCACACTCATTTGTTTACATATTGTCTATTGCTGTTTTCACACTACAATGACAGGGTTGAGAAGTTGTGATAGAGCCCATATGTGGTACTCTCCCTGCTTTAAAATGCTTTTTGGTACACTCTAAATCACAGTAACATAGTTATAAAGTGACAGTATTTCAAGTACCATGTGTATCACCATACTATAACATTTTAATTTATATTTTATTACCAGGGCATGCCCATAATGTTAACAAGAAAAGAAGAGGGGGAAAAATGTTTTACTATGATTTTTTTGAGCTCAGGACTGAGACTGAATTTTTCTGAAAGAGAAGAACCACATGAAACCACTATTAATTGAACACTGAATGACTTTTGCTGCAGACTTGATCATTTTTCCCACTTAATTCAATCTAAAATTACAAGGCAAAACAGTGCTTATATGTGAAACATGCTACAATAAAACCAATTTGACAACAAGTTATGTTGTTTGAATAAAAGGTAATGTCAAGCTTGTTTATATACTTTCCACGCTGTCAAAAGTTAAAAGAATTGAGATCTACAATTCTACAGACTTGCAGTGAATTTAATTTTCCTATCTCAAACTACAGTTCCAGCAGTGTATTTCTGATTTCCCTATTTCAAAACCCATTTTAACTGAAGTTGAGGAGCTTCCACCTAACTTTCAATTGGAAGTGAATAATCTACAATGCAATGGCATGCTAAAAGGCAAAAATCAAGAGAAGAACCTAATCAAGCAATAAAAAATACTCAATTAAAAAAATATGCTTGTGGATTGTTATCAGTATTTGGCAGTATCTAGCTACGTGAAAAGTCATTTTCAAAGATGAAATACATAAAACCTCATTACAGATCAGCATTAACAGACAATGATAGGGAACACTAATTTTGAACCCCAATTAAGTAAAAAGTTATCCCCCAAAAAAGAATTCTATTATTCTCATTAGTACATCTGTATTTCAAAAAATTGTACTCAATTTTTATATTTTTAATTCTGTCAATAAAAAGTCTGTGGAAATGTGTTTTCTCTCATTATATAAGTACCTATGTAATAGCCTCAATTGTGCCTCTTGGCCTGCATAGCCTAAAATATTACAGAAATTTTGCTGATCTGAGGACGACTTCTATTTGGGGCAAGACAAGGGGCAGTGGAGTTGATAGTGGTAGTGATACAAAAAAACAGGATGGCATTTAACCATTATGTTAAATTTAATATAAACTTTAAAAATAAAAAAGTAAATTGGACATAATAGAAACCCACAGTTTCACATGCAATCCTCTCTGTTTTTTGAATATTAAAATGTTCATGTTTGTTGATGTTAGTCAAGTTTATAATAAAAAAATTAAAACAAAAACTTAGACCTGTCATTTCCTAAACCAGGGATGGGGAACCTGCAGCCTCAGGGACACATGTGGCCCTCTACATCCTCAAGTACAGCCCTCTGACTGAATCCAAACTTCACAAAAAAATACCCTTAATAAAAGGATCTGTTCTGTATAACCTGGACTCAATCAAAAGGCCACATGCAAGGATCTAGAAGGCCAAATGTGGCCTCGAAGCCACAAGTTCCCCACCCCAGTCTTAAACTATTCCCCTCTCTCCTCCCTTTCAAAGCCAAATTTAAAGGGGGGAAAAACCTGTCTATATTCACTGCCTCAATTTCCTTATTTCTCATTCACTTCTTAATCTACTTTGTAACCTGGTTATTGATACCACCACTCAAGTAAAACTATTCTCTTCAAGGTTTCCAATGCTCTCTTCACCTTTAAATCCAATAGCCTTTTCTCATTCATCACTGTACCTGAATTGAACTCTTTGCAACTGTTGACCACCTCTGCCTCCTGGATCTTCCCTCCTCTCTGGGATTAAGTATGCTATTCCAAATTGGTTCTTCTCTCTCCAATAACTCATTCATTTCCTTTGGATTATCATCCATTTCCCACCCACTAAGTGGAGGTGTTGCCTAAGGCTCTATCTTGGGCCTCCTCTTCTCTCTAACCTTTCCTCTCAGTTATCTTAGCTCCCATGGTTGCAACTAGCATCTCTACGTGACTGTCCATACTATATATCCAGAATTAATCTCGCTGAAGTAGCTGAATAAGTAACCATGAGAGACAAAAGTACTAAACAGAGCGTAAGCATCAACATTCTGGCAATTTGCCTTTTGGTGGAAAAATAAAAAAAAATCAATGTTCTCTCATGTTCAGGATATCCCTGGGACCCATACAACTGACATTTCCCCTGCACTGAGGAGAAGCCAGAGTACTTGCTCTAATAACTGTTCCATTGTATGGTGTTGGGATGCTGCTTAAAAACAAATTATGTGCCTTCAGTTTCCTCTCCTCTCACTGTTAACTCCCTACAGTCTGGCTTCCAACTTCATTATTTCACCAAAACTGCTCTCTACAAAGTTATCAATTACCTCATAATTGTCCCAATAGCCTTTTCTCAATCTTCCTTCCTCTTGACAGCTCTGAAATCTTTAACACCATCAATCACTCTCTTGCCCTTGATAATCTCTTCTCTGGAGGTTTTTAGGACATCCTTCTCTCCTAGTTCTCCTGTCTACCTGATGCCTCCTTTCCTGAATCTTCATCCAGTCTTATCCACTAACCATGGGAAGCCCACAGGGCTGTGTCCTGGGCCCTCTTCTCTTTTCCCTCTACACTATTTCACTTGGTGATCTCATCAGCTTCCCTGGATTCAATTATCTTCTCTATACTGATGATTCTCCAATCTACTTATCCAGCCCCAACCTCTCTGCTGACCTCCAGTCTCACATCCCCAACAATTTATTAGACATCTCTAACTGGATGTCCTATATAGCTTAAACTCAATATGTCCAAAAGGGAATTCATTATCGTTCCCCCTAAACTCTACCTTACCCCAAATTCTCAACCCCTTCCAAACCTCCCTATTACTGTCAAGGAAATCACAATCTTCCTAGTTGCTAGGCTCAAAACCTACGCATCATCCTCTACTTCTCACAATCTCTCACCATCCCATATCCAAAGCCTGTTGATTTCACCTGTGCAACATTTCTTGAATATAATACCTTCTCTCCTCTGATATTATCACCACCCTAGTGCACGCAGGTCTCTACCCAGCAAGTCCTATTTCCTAACACCTGGACTATTGCAGTAGCCTGCTGGTGGGTCAGCCTGTCTCAAGTCTCTCTTCATTCCAGTCCATCTTCTATTCAGCCACCAAACTGATTTTCCTAAAGCACAGGTCTGACTATGTCACCCCCTACCCCCAACACACATACCCACACCACACCTCCAGTGATAATGGTCTTCTTGTCATTCCTCAAACAAGACACTCTATCTCCTAACTCCGGCTGTCCTCCCCATGCTTAGAATGTTCTCCCCTTATCACCTACTGACTTCCCTCAAGTCCCAAAAAGAATCCCACCTTCTATAGGAAGAGATCCCTTGATCCATCTTAATTCTAGTACTTTTGCTTAGTTGATTATTTACTGTGTGTCCTGCATATTAATTTGTTTGTACATAATTGTTCACATGTTGTCTCCATTAGTCTGTGAGTTCCTTTGCAGATAGAGACTAGCTTCTGCCTTTCTTTGTATCCCCAGTGCTTAGCATAGTGTCCAGCACATAGTACCCACTTAATAAATACTAATTTACTGACATTGAAATCACAATTTCAGTACCTTGGTCAGTTCCAGTTCTTTATTCTTGGCTTCAATGATTGCTTCAAAATCCTTCTTGCTCCGACTTAACTCTTCCATTAGAATGTGATGCTGCAGAAATACATCCAGATATAAATTTAACACAGCTTTTAATGTGTCCTCCTCTCTCTAAAATAGTCACATATTAGCAGCCCACCACTGTGTGTTCTTTGTTCTACAGTTCACTGAAAATGCACAATTTTATAAAAATCCTTCCTTTCTTGGATTCTCACAAATCTCTCCCTATAATTTTTTAGTAATCTTTTTTTTTTTGGTGAGGCAATTGGGGTTAAGTGACTTGCCCATGATCACACAGCTAGCAAGTGTTATGTGTCTGAGACCAGATTTGAACTCAGGTCCTCCTGACTCCAGGGCCTGTGCTCTATCCACTGTGCTACCGAGCTGCCCCTCTTCCCATAATTTTTTGAAGAGTAGGAAAGAGAGAAAAGAGAGCAATCAGAGATCCCATAACCAGTAAAGAAATAATAATAACCTCATCTTATATTTGTATACTGTTTCACAGTTTCCAAAGCATTTTGTACGTTGATTTAATCTTCACAAGACTTCTGGTACAATTGGCCAGGCAGGTATTTTTATCCCTATTTTATACATGAGAAAACTGAGATTCAATGAGTTTATGTCATTTTGTCTGGGTCACAGTTAATAAAAGAGGCAGAAGCCAGGGCCAGAACACCTTTTCTAACTCTTGAGTCCAATGCAGAACTAGGAGATACAAACTGAGGAAAGGCAGGCTTTGGTTCAGCGTAAGGAAAAATTTCCTGGCAATTATAAATATCTCAACGTGCCTTGCAAGGTAGTGGCTACCCCCATCATATGAGGTCTTCAAACAGAGTGAAGAACAATTCATTCTCTTGTTGAGAGAATTCCTGCTAAGGGATTCACTGGACTTTGAGGGACTATCACTAGTGATATCAGATATCACCAGGAAGCCAGATATCAACTGTTTGGCTTTTAGAGAACATTAAAGGGAACTGAGGATCCAGAAAGTCCAAGTAAGCATTTTGGTTGAAAGAGAAAACCATTCCAAAAAAACTACTTCAGTCAATGCCATCCTGGCTACTCCCTCAATCCATGTGCTGCCAGAAAGCTGAACACCACTAGTATCTACTAGAAGTCAAGAAGGGAGCAGCAACAAGGAGCTTCTATTTTATTTCTCAAAGTTGCCATGTTATACATTACAGAGAGTGACTTATGGTTTGCACTGGGCATAAATCTGCAGTTGTAAATGCAATTTAAACAATTAGCAGAAAAGAAATTCACAAATTCAACACAAATTTATATCACAGTAATGACCATTAACTAGGGGTAAAATATAAACCATTCAATAAAGAACACTAGGCTGTTGCCTTGACTTTGCCACTCTACCTGTATACAAACCTCAGTTTCCTCATTTGTAAAGTGGGGACATACCTGCCTGATGGGCCTGATGTGGAAATAAAGTCAGATTATAGTTGCAAAGACACTCCAATGGTTTTTCCCCCCTTTAAAAGAACTATATAAATTTAAATTATGATGATCCCTTTAAATCTGGTTTCAAGAATGGTAAATAACAGGCTGCTTCTCAACGCTGGTAGTAAAAAGTGGCTGGAATTTGTTAAATTGTAAGCTGAGAAGTATCCATGAGCCAAGTACCAGAGCACATAGCAGGTGTTCTTTGTTCCAACATAAGGTAATAAAGGGAGTAGTATATTTCTCAAGAGGGAGTAAAAAGGTATGAGGGGAGATCAGATATTCCTATGGTATCTTCAAATAGCGGAACTTGACTCTTTTTTTTTCCAGTCAACCTCAAATAAGATTTTCAGCAAATGTGATCCAGCTAGAGAAACCTGCAGTAGGGAATATGTAAATAAGTAAATAATTTTTGAAGACAAAAAAGTCTTTTCTTGAAAAGAAAACTAAGACAGCACTGATTTCTTCAACATTCTTTTCCCTAATGGCATTTATATGTTCTACTTGGGAAGTCCTGGGTGCTCTCTGGTGCTGATAATGTGACACTGTTTCTCCTAGAAGACTGGTCCACAGGTCTAAGAAAGAAGAGCATGGAGTTAAACTTTCTGGGAGTTCTCTATTAGAACAAATTCTTATTCTAATGCTCATCTTTGTTAATGAGGCCTGAATCCATTTTCTTACTACCCTATGCCCTGACCATAAAATAAACTTACATCTGACTTGTATTCAGGATGAATAAAGGAAGGATGAGGCAAGTTTTCAAAGATTCAACAAAACTTATAGAAAGAACCAAGGAAGAAAACAGTGAGTAGTTAAAATAAATGAACTAAATTACAAGGAACTTTTATCAGGATTTCAACCCTGTGAACCTGTAGCTTCTTGTCCTTTCAGTAAATTGATCTGCTTCACTGATCATTAAATTGAACATTCTCAAATTGGCCTGAAATGTTTAATTGCCATTTTCTGCTAATCACTGTGGTCCCCAGTCCCCATCTTTGGCTGGCTATACCTCTGAATGGGTGAGGTCGGCAGGGGCAGCAATGGACCCTACAGCCCAGGAACAGCTGACATTTTTTCCCCTTACTTTTCTAATTGCAGAGTCTGCCCCAACCCATGAGCCTCACAATTCCCCAGAGGCTCTTAGTCCATTTTACTAGAGGAAGGACTGCTCAAATGAAGTTGCAGGCTTTCGTGCTGGGGTCTGGAATGTCTGTGGGACTCCACATCTCCGAACTGATGGTGTGAGCAGCTGCCATCTGCTCCATTTGACAGACTGGAGGTGCAGGGGAGGTGGAGGATAAGTAGGAGAAGCAGCCATCAGTCATGCAAGGCTTGGCTGCACCCCCTGCTCTACAGTTGATGGAACAATCTCAGCCCAGTGGCAAGAGATAGGTTACCTCCTGCAGGGCCTGTGCCAGCTGCTCCTTCAGGTCCTTTTCCCCACGCTGTTTTTCCAAACCCTGCAAAGCCAAAAACAAATGGAAGGTTTCCTTGAGGGGAAGTGAAAGGAGCAATAAAATCCAGCAACATGCAGAGCAGAGTGGATGGCATGAGCATCTAGGAGCAGTGGGAGGGAAGGGGGGGGGGCAGGAAGCAGGTGGGAACAACTCCTGTTTTCTCTCAAGCTGTTACCTACAAAGAGATTTAAACAAAATTGCCTGACTTTATAGTGCCTATGATAAGATTTTCACCTTTAACTCACTTCCAGGCTACTCTGCAAATAAAATGAATTGTTCCAAGCATCTTTCACAAGATAACAGTTCTTTGATGTAAAAGAGCATTTGATCTCAGCCTCAGTTTCCTCACCTATGAAATATCTGTACTACCTACCTCACAGGATTGTTCAAAGAGCCATGGATTTGGAATCAAAGGACTTGGGACTAAATTTTAGCTCTGCTGGCTGTTAGCTATGTGACTTTGGATAAGTCACTTAATACCACTGTGGCTCAGCTTCCTCATCAGTCAAATAAAAACTCAATGAACTACGATACAGAGTGTTTCAGAAACATTAGATAGCTGATTGAAATGTCTCAGCCTGTCCTGTAGGACCTTCCTACTCTTAAGCCACACAATCTCACAGGACCACAGTTTTAGAGCTGAAAGGCACCTTGAAGGTAATTCAAAAAGCCTAACCTCTTAATTTCACAGATGAGGAGTATGGTCATATAAGTTAAGAAGTAGCAAAACTGAGAACCAAATCCAGATGCTTTGACTCTAAAATCAGCCTTCTTTCCACCGTACCACACTCGCTACTCTCAGGTGGGTTTGGGAGCTGGGGAGGCGGCACCTTTTCATCCCAGGATACATATTCTGTTCTTTATCCTCTGTCACAGCTACATCTCTTCCTCTGTCAAGGTGTCTGCTGACCTTATTTTTACCCATTTGTGTTCATCACCTTCTATGTGAATTTTCCCTCTGAACTGCATTAGTTCTCTTAATACAGTCTGTATCAGATCATGCAGTTATTAACATCATCTTAAAATTGTTCATTGGTTTTCTCATGTGTGTTAAGTCTCATTTTCTCAACGAGATCATAATTTCTTTGAAGGCGAGGACCAATGTTAAGCTTCACTGTATTCCCACATGACCGAGTGCATGCACACAGTAAAAGCTTAATGAATATCACTGAAATATGTGGGGGAGAAAGGATTAAAATGCACTTTCCAACTTCTTACAAAGATTAATAACCTTATCAGAAAACTTACCTGCTCCCTCTGTCAGGGAGAGGAAGTAAGATCTCTAAGTGCATGGAAGGTAATGCTGCTTACAAAGACGCTTCACTCCCCTCAACTTCCATACATCTGCCCTCTTCTCACATTTGGCAAGTGGGCAGTGGAATTCTTCAATCCAGTTATTTTTTTTTAATACTTGGTTGCTTTGCTGGGTCCAGGGATAGTTGTTACCAGATTAGATTTTTAATTTTTTTTTCAATTAATAAGTATTATTTTCTCTCCCTGATGCCTTTCTCCATTAGGGGAAAAAAATTGTTTTAAATTGTAAAAGGTCATTTGGGCAGGTGAAAGGTGAGTAACCTGGAGGGAAATGTCCTCTGTTAATTTCCAGAATTGTACCAGGCTAAAGGCAGCAAAGATTTACATACAGGCAATCAGCCCAAATGCATAGAACTCCATTTGCTGCCATTCCCAAAATCACTTATCACAAGGGTATGAAGAGGACAGAACTTAAAATTCCTCAGAAATAAGAAAATTAGGCTCAAGTTATGAGCTTTTACATCAAAGAATTAATAAGCAGATGATTAATGTGAACATTATAAATTATCTTGTCCTGAGTCACTTGATTCAAAGGTGAAAGCTAGTCTTTACAGAACCTTTTGGATCCTTGTCTCTTAATTTTACTTAGCTCTTGACCAGTTTGATATTAAGTAGGCAGGGTATATGCCTATATGATTTCTGCCCACATCAAGAATTTGATGTTCTGAAGCATTCTAGTCTGTAGGCCACAGAATGCACTTATTGCACTCTTGGCTGTTCCTGGAAAATGATCCTCCAACTCCCAACTCTGTGCCTTTGTGGTGGTCGTACCACTTGTCTGGAATTCTCTCCTTTTATCTTGGCCTCCTGGCTTCCTTAAAATCTCAGCTAAAAGCCCACCTTTTCAGATGTTTTGTGACCCACTTTAATGCTAGTGCCTTCCATTTGAGATTATCTCCAATTTATCATTTATATATACTATTTGTATATAGTTTGCATGATGTCTTCTCCATTAAACTGAGGTCCTTGAGAACAGAAACTGTTTTTGCCTTTCTTTGTATCCCCAGAGGTTAGCATTGTGCTTGGCACACAGCTGATACTTAATAAATTCTTGTTGACTTGACTTAATGAGGTATTCAGGGATAGAGACACGGACACAGTTCTGCCTGGACCACAGTCATGACACAACTAAACCAGCATGTCTTTCAAAATCAAAATTGTCAGAAGAGGGACTCAGTACACCAAGTGTATACCAAATATCTAAATTGTGGAGGATCGGATACCTCTGTTGCTGGCTGTTCAAGAGGGAGAAGGAAAGGATCATAAAACCCAAGCAAAATCATAACTTTGTCCTCTACAGCTAAATTATTATCACAGTCTGGTGTACAGAATTTAGTTTTGGGCAAGTTCTAGTAAGGGCAAGATAATCTGTTAACCTAAATCTGTCTTCCAGGTAAACATCATTCAGCTTTTTGTAAAATGACAAATGCTATCAACAACCAATGGCTCATACTCCAAATCATTTCTTTTTTTTCTTTCTTTTTTTTGGAGGCAACTGGGGGGTCAAGTGACTGGCCCCAAGTGTCTAAGGCCAGATTTGAACTCAGGTCCTCCTGATTCCAGGGTTGATGTTATATCTACTGTGTCACCTAGCTGCCCCACTCCAAATCATAGAAATGCATATTGAAATAACTCTGAGATTTTACTTTTCACCCACCAAAGTAGAAAAAGTGATAAAAAATGGAAATGGTCACTGCTAGAAGGGTTGTAAAAAAATAGGCACTGTGATACACTGTTGGAGGAATTGTGATGAATTGGTCCAACTCTTGGAAAACAAATTGGAATCAGAAAAAAAAAGTTGTTAAATTTCTCATATCCTGCTACTGTTTATATATACCCTAAAGAGAACAAACAAAAATGAAAAGTTCCATATATTCCAGAGTATTGATTTTTTTCAATAGCAGAACACTGGAATCAAATTATGCACCCATTGATTGGGGAATGGTACACAAATTGTGGCATATAAATGTAATGTGACTGCAAGAAATGTTGAAGAATGCAAAGAAACGTGGGATGACTTGTATAAACTGATACAAAGGAAAGAAAACAGAATCAGAAGACCACAATAGTGTCCAACTCTAATTCAATGTAATGAGCAATCTATCCCAGAGAACAGAGAGTAGAAAGGTGAGAGACAAAGGGTATGGAATAGTACATATGCTTTTGATGTGGTTTGAGAGATTCAGGGACCCCCCAAGGACTGAAGTATAGGACTGGGTCGTCTGGAATGAATTCACGAACTCAAGCAGTCTTCCAGTCAGGTGGCAAAAATTTTATTATAATGCTAATATGGTGGGCAGAGCTCCTTAAGGGATTCTGCCATGTCTCTATCTCCGAACACCTCTTACAGTGAGGAGTCAGTGGTGGCATGTTGAAAAAATAACTATGATGTTAAAAACAAAAGTCATTAAACATTTTTAAAAATAAAGAGCCAGAAAAACACAACCGAATTAACAGGCAATTTACTGTGGCATTCCAACATCTTGATCTACACTGGTTCACTTTTCCTTGATTCACCCTTGTTCTGACTATGATGCTTGCCTTGAATCCCAAATTCTAGTTTGGTTCCCTCTTCATCTACTGGTTCTGATCCTAGATGAGGGGGAAGTGAAAGGAGAAGACAGTAAGCATTTATATAGTACCTACTATGTGCCAGGCACTGTGCTAAGCACTTTAAAATATTATCTCATATAATAGGGTCCTCACAACAACCCTTTGAAGTAAGTGTTGTTATTATCCCCAGTTTACAGTTGGGGAAACTAAGGCAAACAGATTAAGTGACTTGCCCAGGGTAACATAGCTAGTGTCTGAGCCAAGATTTGAATTCAAATCTTTTTTGATTTTAGGTCCATGACTCTATCTACTGCACTATCTAGTTGCCTCTGGGTTCCTGGACTACATCTGCCACTCATCTGGCCTGGTATCCTAATTCTGATCCTAACCCTGATTTTTGCCTTACACAATAATTCCCTTTAAGCCTCAACCATAGATTCCCTGGTCTCTGTCCCAAGCTTCCACCTCCTGTATCTAGTGCTCAGCTTTTATCTCTAACAATATGAATCAATCCAGGACACCAAGTCTCTGGAAGGGACAGGCACGAAACATATACCTCTAGTAAACTGCCATTTATTTTCTCACATTCCGTACCTCTAAGTGCGGCTTCTTCTCCTGGAAATTTTTCTCTAGTTGCTCCACTCTCTGCTGCTGCTGGACCTGCTCCGTAAACAGCTGGTCCTGTAACTCCTGGAGCTCCTCCTCCATCTTCACCATCTCCTTCTGGGCCCCCTTGTGGCTCTGCTGCTTCACACTGAGAACAGCCACCTGCTTCTCCTGAACCTTCACCTTCAGCTTGAGGATCTTGGCCATCGTCTTCTTAAATATGTCCAAGCTGCTCTGAGACTGTGACACCCATGGGCCTTTTTGCTTCTTGCTGGGCAGCACTGCTCCTTTTTCTGAAACAGTCTGAAGGTCACCCTCTGCTGCTCTCTCTCCACTTGGTCCAGGAGAAGTCAATTTTCGGTCCATGCTTTCAGGGGCCTGTTTGGCCATTTTGGCTCTTCCACAGGACTTCCCCAACTGCTCATAGTCATGCGACACTTTATTTACTTTGGTTCTGGAGTCCGAAGAGCCCTCCACTCCAGGGCTATCCGACTCCTCTAAACTACATTTCCTTTTGGTTCTCGAGCACTTAACTACTGTCCTGCTGTTCCTCAGGGCAAGACACAGATGGATCTTTTCCCAGTCTTCTTCTACTACTTCATACTCATATTCTGCCTTCTCCTTATTTTCTAATGGAACTCCAAGCTGGATTCGGTCTCCCTCCCGAATAGGACAGGCCTTTAAAGGTTCCAGGCGCTCCTTGTTCAGCCAAACACCATTCAGACTCTGGGGAATGAGAAGAGATAGAAATGAAAAAGCTTCACAATGTTTATTCTCCTTAATGGGGGGAGGGAGGGACTCTGCTACAAATCCTTCTGGCATCCTCAGAAGGAAAACTCTTGAGAACAAATTGCAAGGAAAGTAAACAACTACTCTTAGAAACAGCACTTTTCAAGTGCAGCTTGGTTTATCTCCTATATATTTTATATTCATGCCTCCACTGAGAACTACCTGCAGAACAGGCAGGAATTATTTTATTTCAGGTAGTAATAATAATAATCAGAATTTAACACTCTGAGATTTGCAAAGCATAGTACAGTACAGTACAAATGTTATCTCTTTTGATCCTTACAACAATCCTGTGAGGTGGTTGCTATTATTATCCTCATTTTACAGATGAGGCAACTGAGGCTGAATGAAGTTGAATGACTTGTCCAAGGGTCACACAGCTACTGTCTGAGTGAGAATTTGAACTCAAAAGCCTTCCTGATTCCAAGTCCAGCGCTCTCGAAGAATCACTAAAACAAATGCAACAGCAATGAAGGAAAAATGAAATTAAGCTACACCTCTTGGTGTTATGAAATGGAAAAAATTCAATTCCACTGCAGACAGCTTCTAATGGTTATGTCAGTGAAGTAAGATGTGCCTAAGAAAGCCATTGAAAAACCCGGACATAACAATGAAACCAAAAACCCCTCTGGAAATTACTACCTGTGAGCAAGTTACTTCCTCTCTCTGGCCCCAGTCTCCTCACTTACCAAATGATGTTAGCCAAGTTCCCTTCCTGTTTCTTATAATCCTGTATACATTAGGAGAATTGTGGCTTACTGGAGAGAACACGGACTTGGAACGAGGAAGACCTGATTTGCTGGGAAAGTCAAGTAACACCTTTCAAACCCTCTTCTTCACCTCTAAGATGGGTACCTCCTTTCCCTCATTTGTTGTGAGGGTGAAAATGACAATGTAGATAACAAAGCTCTTCATCAAATTTAGAATGCTATATTATCAACTATAATTATAATAAAACTTATGAAGTACACAAAAAACCAAGGAGAAAGGAACACCAATGCCTTGTACTGGGCATCATTATTCTGGAGACTAAAACAATTAAGATAGCAAAGACTGGCTTTTGTCCAGTTGATTCACTCATTAAGCACTTATGACCTACTATGCTTAGTGCTATAGGAGATAATTAAGAAAAAATGTAAATAAGGAAATGATACAAGTCCTATGCTCGAAGAATTTACAGGCTGGTTGTGGAGACAAAACGTACACACATGAAACCAGTGAACAATACAAGGTAACATATTAGCAAACATGAAGTTATGGGCACTGACCATAAATTCTGTAGTACTTCAGAAAGTAGAAAGAATCAAAAGGTCAAATTAATTCATAGGAAAAGTCAGTTTTGAGCTAGGCTTGAAAAAAAGTGTGGGACTGAGATCAGTAACTATAGCTGGGGGATATCTTAAGAGGGCTCATATGCACCTCAGACCACAAGTCTAACTCTGGGGGTAGGGCTAGAGAGGAAGTTAAGCCCTAAAATAAAGCTAAGATATTGACACCATATACATGTCACATTCAACTCCTGACTCTTATCTTTTTGTTAGTTTTATTCAACCCAAAGATTAGGGGTAATATAAAATAGCATAGTAATTCAAGAGCAATGCTAGGTAGCACGTGACACTTCCTATTCTCCTTCTCTCCATGCCTCTTCAAGGCTGTCAAATGTAGGAATTCTGCATGCAAGATTTTCCCTACTACAATCTCTGGGGCCTGTTTTTCTAACTGAATATTTTGTTGAAGAGCTGGGCTAAAGACAGTATGATCCCTTGCTTACTGTGCTCTAGAATGGCTCACTTGACCAACCCATCCCCCAAATTGTTTTAAGTCGGCCTAGAGATGACCAGCTCTCACTGATGGCAGACCTCTGACTTAAACAATACCTGACGCATTAACAAAGAACAAAGCAGCTACAGTCTAGGAGCTATTAGAAACAGGAATGAACTGAGAAAAAAATTGATACTGTACACATAGCAAACTTCTCAAAGTGAAAAAGCAAGCTGACCTTGAGAGTGTCAAAGGTCAAGGTACAAAAATTTAAGTAAAACGCAAAGGGCAATGATGGATTTAGTCATCAGGTAAAAAAAACAGTGAGTTACTATGGAACAGAAGTTTGAAGAGAGGTAAAAGGTACTGAAGGAGTAAAGAAGCAACAACGGAACCTAGATCATGGTACTTTCTCTACACGCCTTTTCAAATATCCCAAGTCTGAAAAATAAGCTCTCAGTGTTCATTCTACTATACAAGCTTTCCCTTGGTTCGCTACATTTCCCTATCTCTTAACTCCTGGTGCCACCTAGTGGCATAATTCTTATTTATTTTTAGTTTTCAACATTCATTTCTAGTGGTATAATTTATAAATCTTCCTACATCTGTCTCCCAACTCCGCTTTTCAGTCACAGGTGACACCAGGAAAAGACGAATCCACACATCCCTGACACGTCATTCAGATATTCAAATTTCAAAGGATCATAGATTTAGAGCTGGAAGGGACTTTAAAGATCATATAGTTAAACTTCCTCATTCTACAGATGAGGAAATAGGACAAGATAAGTTAAGTGACTTGCCTAAGGTCACAGAGGTACAAAGTACCACATCCTATTTCAAAGCGCTAGATAAAAATGATGAAATATGGAAGTAACATATGGAAATATGTTAGATGTGTTTGGGGAAGAAAGAAACACTAGGACAATGATGGTGGAGTTGTGTACTGGTTTAATCATCAAGGAAAATAATATGGATAATTACGTAAGGTCATATATCCCAAGAACTTGTATGGAAAAAAAGGTACAATATGGAACAAAATATTTGCTGAGGCACTTTTTGTGGTAGCGAAAAATTGGAGATATAGTAAGGACCCACTGACTGGAAAATGGATGAATAAACTGGACTACATGAATGTAATGGAATACATCACTACACTGTAAGGAACAGAGAAAACGGACGATTCAAATAAATATGAGAAGACTTATGTGAACTGACAGAGAAAAAAAGCAGAACCAAAAGAACAATATTGCCTAATATAACCTAATGACTATAACAATGTAAACGAAGACAACACTTAATGACAAGAGATTCTAGGTCAAACTAAAACACACTAGTTTGACCTAGAATCTCTTGTCATTAACAAATGGCAAACTGCTGGGTGAGGTGGTAAATGCTTCTAATCCCTGCCACTGGGAAAGCTGAAGCTGGTGGATCTCTTCAAACTCAGTGGTTCTGAGCTGCAGTGGGCTAAAACAATCAGGTGTCCGCACTAGGTCAAGAATCATTACAGTGAACCCTCAAAATCAGGAGTCATCAGGTTACCTAAAGAAGGGCGAACTGGCCCAGGTCAGAAATAGAGTAGTGAGATTGGGCCATTAAGCAGCTGCTGCTATTCAAAAGAAATACCTAATCCTAAGGAGTCAAGGGAGAGACCCAGAGGAAGGAAGGAAAGTAAGGAGGGAGGAAAGGAAGAGAAGAAATGGTAAATTAAAAGCAGTCAAAAGATGCAAAATCTTTCTATATGCAATGGCTTATAATCATCTGCAAGGATAGATCACTGTCATAAGTATTTAAATGGCTAGGAAATAAGACACTCAGAGAAAAAACAATTTGCCTAATGTTTCTCAACAAGTCAATGTGGGGGAAAGAAACAGGTCAATAGTGAGATAATATATTTCTTAGCACTCTAGTCACCCAAAACCTTCAGGTATTTTTGTGCATTCCTAAGAAGAAAAATTCACGTAGGGTCAAAGAAAGAAACAGAAACCCAAGATGATAAGGCAATGTTCACCTGCCTACTAGAATAATACCTAAGCTGTCCTAAGCACCCATACTCAAGAGCCGTTACTGAGTCTGCAGTCTGGGAATCCCAATGAAATTTTAAAGGAACACTTACTATGTGCCAAGCACTGTGCTAAGTGCTGGGGATACAAAGGCGGAAACATGGTCCCTGTGCTCAAGGAGCTAATATTCTAATGGGAAATATAACATGCAAACAAATATGTACATATAAGATATATACTGTGTAAATGGAAGGCTATTCGGAAAAAGGCACTAGCAGCTGGGGTAATCTGGGAAAAATCTTTTTGGGCAAAGTGGGATTTGAGTCTTAAAGAAAGCCAGGGAAGGGGTAGCTAGATGGCGAAGTAGATAGAGCACTGGCCTTGGAGTCAGGAGGACCTGAGTTCAAATGCAGCCTCAGACCCTTGATACTCACTAGTTGTGTGACCCTGGGCAAGTCATTTAACCCCACTGCCTAGCAAAGAAAACAAAACCAAACAAAAAAAAAAAACACAAAACAAAACAAGAAAGCCAGGGAAGCCAGAAAGTAGAGGGTGAGGAGGACAAGCATTCTAGGAATATGAGACAAGTCAGTGAAAAGGCAGAGTCTCAGAGGCTGAAGTGAGGTGCAGGGAACAACAGCAAGAAGCAGAATGTTGCTGGATCACACAGTACATAGAGAGAATCAAAGTAGGAAAGGGTCAGGCTGTGAAGGGCTTTAAAAGCCAAAAAGAGGATTTTATATTTGAATTTACAAGCCACTGGACTTGACTTTACTAGGGGGTGGGGGTGGGGGGCTAGAGGGTGGTGGCATGACACTGTTCACAACCTGTACTTGAGGAAAAATCAATTTGGCAACTGAGTAGAGGATGGAGTGAAATGAGGAAAGACTTGAGGAAGGAAGCCCAGTCACAAGTCTAGTGGAACAGTCCAGGAATGAAGTAATAAAGACCTGTGCAGGGTGGTGGCTGAGTGAGCAGAGAGAAGGGGATGTGTATCAAAGATGCTGGCAAGGCAAAATCAACAAGACTTGGCAATAGCATGGATATGTGAGGTGAATATGAATAAGGAAGAGAAAACGACACCAAGGTTGTAAGTCTGAGTGATTGGGAGGATGATGGTGCCTTTGATGCGTAACAGGGAAATCTGTAGAAAAGGAGTTTGGGAAAAAAAGA